ATATATATATATATATATAATATATATATATATATATATTTTTTATTTATTTATTTATTTTTTATTTCAACACACGGATTATCCACCTAGGCAGGTGGCCCAAAAATAAAAACGAAAGTTTCTCTTTTTAAATTTAGTAATTTATACAGGTGAAGGGGTTACTAGCCCCTTGCTCCTGGCATTTTAGTCGCCTCTTACAACACGCATGGCTTACGGAGGAAGAATTCTGTTCCACTTCCCTATGGAGATAAGAGGAAATAAACAAGAACAAGAACTAGTAAGAAAATAGAAGAAAACCCAAAGGGGTGTGTGTGTGTGTATATACTATATGCTTGTACATGTATGTGTAGTGTGACCTAAGTGTAAGTAGAAGTTGGAAGATGTACCTGAAACCTTGCATGTTCATGAGACAAAAAAGTGGACACCAGCAATCCTACCATTATGTAAAACAATTACAGGCTTTCGTTTTACACTCACTTGGCAGGACGGTAGTACCTCCCTGGGCGGTTGCTGTCTACCAATCTACTACCTATATACTGTATATATATATTTATTTATTTATTTTTAACAAGTTGGCCATCTCCCACCAAGGCAGTGTGACTGAGAAAAAAGTCCCCAAAAAGAAAATACACCTTCCATCCGACTTACGACTGAGTTCGGTTCCGAGAAACCGGTCGTAAGTCGAAATGGTCGTAAGTCGAACTCTACTACTGAATATGCACAAAACATTTTTGTAATGAATTTATTTTATTGTTTTATTTTGGTATTTCATGTTTTACTTTACTTTTTATGTTGTTAGTGCTGTATTTTATACTGTAAGGTTTAGGATAAACACTGTGTACAACACAAATAGTTGTTTATTTCCCAGAAATTTGGCATAAAAAACACGGGCATAAGTTGAGTGGTCGTAAGTCGAGCAGGTCGTAAGTCGGATGGTAGGTGTACTTTTATCATCATTCAACATTTTCACCTCACTCACACACAATCACTGTTTTTGTAGAGAATACAGCAGTTTAGAAGTATGTACGTATAATGATACACAACATATCCCTCCAAACTGCCAATATCCCAAACCCCTACTTTAAAGTGCAGGCATTGTACTTCCCATTTCCAGGACTCAAGGCCGGCTATATAAAAATAACCGGTTTCCCTGAATCCCTTCACTAAATATTACCCTGCTCACACTCCAACAGCTCGTCAGGTCCCAAATACCATTTGTCTCCATTCACTCCTATCTAACACGCTCATGCATGCTTGCTGGAAGTCCAAACCCCTCGCCCACAAAACCTTCTTTACCCCCTCCCTCCAACCTTTTCGAGGACAACCCCTACCGCGCCTTCCTTCCCCTACAGATTTATATGCTCTCCATGTCATTCTACTTTGATCCATTCTCTCTAAATGACCAAACCACCTCAACAACCCCTCTTCAGCCCTCTGACTAATGCTTTTATTAACTCCACACGTTCTCCTAATTTCCACACTCCGAATTTTCTGCATAATATTTACACCACACATTGCCCTTAGACAGGACATCTCCACTGCCTCCAACCGTCTCCTCACTGCAGCATTTACAACCCAAGCTTCACACCCATATAAGAGTGTTGGTACCACTGTACTTGCATACATTCTCTTCCTTGCCTCCATAGATAATGTTTTTTGTCTCCACATGTACCTCTCTTGTTTGTTTGTTTCAAGTCAAGTTTTGTTTGATCTAATTGGGAATATGTGTACCTTGAACTTCATGTACAATATTTTCAATATTATCACATCAGCAACTATCTCTGTCTTTCTCCTTGCGATAATCCTTAGTCAGTTTAGCCCAGTCTGTTGTACTTAAATAATCCCTTAACCCCATATAATCCGCAGTACAAAAATTAAGTATATATCATGAGATATTGAAACACCCTACTAAATTCATTTGCTAGCCTTTGTAGAATCCCACAAAAGAAGTGTCATTGGCAAAGACCTACTGTGTCAAATCCCACTCTTGTTCAACTGTCATAGTGACTTAACACATCCCTGTCTAAGGCCTACTTTTACTGGAAAAGTTATAGCACCTTGAAAGAATTGAACACATCCCTGTCTAAGGCCTAATTTATTGGAAAAGTTATAGTGCAGTGAAAGTTTCATAATAGATGAAGAAATACTCTGCGAAGTTTATGTAGGTGGCTCAGTAAGCCATGAGCATTCCCTAGCAACCAAGCCATGAGCATTCCCTAGCAACCAAGCCATGAGCATTCCCTAGCAACCAAGCCATGAGCATTCCCTAGCAACCAAGCCATGAGAAGTGCCTCCTACCACAGCCTCCTCCTATTGCTAAGTAACAGCAGGTTTTGTTCATTATTCAGCACTATTCTTACTAACATAATGTGTTCTCAAATTTATGTAACTTATGATGGCTTAGTTTATAAAATAAGAGTTAGACAATTCAAGTATGCTCTATATAGAAATTTTCAATACTGCTGGGAGACAAAGCCAGAGTTGGCAGCTCTTTCCACAGCTCCCGGACATGACTTGATACTGCGTAAGCTGTGCAGCCCAATTAACCCTTAAATGGTCCAAAGAGATCGACGTTCAGATTCGTATTGCTACAAAAGTAGATCTACTTTTTTTTACGTATTTTCAAATATAACAAAAAAAAATGTAGATAAAAGTTTTTTTACACGTTTTCAAATGTAAAACAAAAAAGATCTATATATTTTTACATACTTTCAGGTGTTGAAAAAACGTATATATACATTTGGACCATTTAAGGGTTAACGTTACCCAGTAAGAAGGTAGCTGATACTGCCTTCAATATTTTTTAATTATTTTTATTTTTTGTTGATTTGGCTTGTTTTCTGGTATATGCTTGTTTGGTATAGGTGTGGTGTGTACCTATGTGTTTGGTGCAGTTTGGTTAGGAAATGTCTTTTTATTTTTTGCATTGTTGAATCGCAGAGTGTGTCAGCAGATAAAACTCACTACTGTACATTCAACTCATTAACATTCCCCACATTCTTTAAATGTTTCAAGTAGTGACTAACAGGAGGTAAGTTAAGATAAACTATTTTTTTTTTAATAGGAATTTTTTCATAAAGGAGTGTCATTTTTGGGGGTCTTGGAATGTAACCTCATTTTTCTAACATGTTCTGCAGATCATTTAGCGCTAGACTGCATTAGTTGCTGGTTTTCAGGACTGTCATCCTCACATTTATTGACGGTCTACCGTATAAACATACAGGGTGTTGTACGGCAGAAAAGAACAGGCACCAGATGCAAGTGAAGAAAAAATGCAGGCTTAGGGGAGATTGAAGCTATGAAGCTTACACTATGGGACTTTGAGATTACTGTAAAGATGCAGAAGACAACGTCTGCATATTCTCACAAATAGATAAAAAATTAAGGAATCTGTTCATTCACCAATATGGGATTTTGGCAGTGGTGATGCTAGTTCTCTTCTGATGTGCAAAGTCTCAAATATAATAAATAATAAATACGCATATATATAAATATAAATATATATAAATATAAATATACATATATTTATTTTCATGTAGTCGGACTTGAGTCCTGGAAATGGGAATATTGGCAGTTTGGAGGGATATGTTGTGTATCTTTATACGTATATGCTTCTAAACTGTTGTATTCTGAGCACCTCTGCAAAAGCAGTGATAATGTGTGAGTGTGGTGAAAGTGTTGAATGATGATGAAAGTATTTTCTTTTTGGGGATTTTCTTTCTTTTTTGGGTCACCCTGCCTCGGTGGGAGACGGCCGACTTGTTGAAAAAAAAAAAAACATATATATATACATAAATATATATATATATATGTATATATATACATATAAATAAATATATGCACACACACATGCACATATACATACAGAAATACATAACATATATATACATAATGTACATTAATTCATGCATGCATATAAGTACTGTACATTCACACGTACTGTATATATATATTTTTTTTGCTGTACTGTATCTGTATAACTTTAGAGTATTCAACTCGTATAGTTCACCAGTATTTACTGCATCTGTTAAGGTATTTATCATATGTTTAATAGTAGCTAAGAAATAAAGTAAGTATGTGTGTACATTTGCTTCTCATAAGAATTTATTACCTAAGTTACCTGTGTGTATTTTTTTTTATATGTGCAGAAAGAATTGATGATAAAGTGACGCCATAATCACCTTTTCTTGGTTTTCGATTTTTTAAGGAAATATTTCCAAACGCAAACTTCACTTACCAGATGCAAAGGCAACGTATTCTACCCTTCTTTTGTTTGTTGAGTTACGAGGCTTAGTCCAATTATTGTTTTTATCCTAGATCATTAGTTTCATTTGGTTATCACTGCTTCAGGAATAGAAGGCTTGGCATACCCTATTGCTGTTTGTTTGATGGTTGCTTAGAATTAGTAATCTAGTTTAATAACTTAGTACTAGTATTTTTGTTTCACTAGTGGTGCTTGTTACAGTGTATGTTCATATTTTTCTTTGGTTTAATTTTTTAAATTCTGTAGTTTTTTTGCTTGTCTTAAAAATAGTATTTTGTTTAAAATACAATGAGTGCATGGTCTCATACTACCCATTTGACCATGTTTGTAGAATGTTTGTGACATAACAGCTTGAAACAGTGAAACAGTGGACATTTTAGTCCTTGTCATATTCAGTAGTTGGGAGTGTCCACTGCATCAAGCCTTGTTATGGCTTCAGCAGTGATACTCTTCAAGTGCCACTTCACTTCTCTCTTTAAGGGCTGAAAGCTCACCTTTTATTTTAAATGAGTGCCATAAGGCAGCCTATGGACTTCCAACAAGAGAGAAGGCACAGTAAAGGCTTTGCCATGGGCTCACTGAAAGTTGTTGTTTATGGCGCAAGCATTCTTCCAACAAGTGTTCATGCAATCCCTGTGAGTACGTTTGTGGGTGTGCTTGGGGTGGTAATCCCCTGTGAGTCCCCCCTCCCCCTGTGGTGGCCGTGCGCTGATGCGGGTGTGTGTCTCTTCCCCAGGGCTCTGTCGGACCCCACCGCACCCGGTAGGGGGACTCATCAGACGCTTTTTGGAAGAATGCTTGCAGCTATCTGAGCCGGGACCCCTGCTGTCCTGCTATACTGGATTGGAGTCGACCCCACACTTCCAGCTTCTGCGATCTGTAGCAAAGGAGTGGAGCTACTGCCGCAATGCCACCCAGAACTACACCACCATGGGTGGTAGTAGTAAACGCCAGAGGGCTACTTCAAGGCTCATTGAAACATTTGAAAGTATTGATGCACTACGCTCACAACTGGCTCACTACATGCACCAAATTATTCTTCTGGAAATGTCCAGTCCTGGGACTATAGCTAAAGTATCAAAGGCTGAACTTCAGATACAACAGCATCAGCAACAGGTAAATCAACAGGCACAACAAGGGGAAGGGGCAGCACCTGAAGGTGGGAATAATAGTAATTCTGATCCAGCACCCATGGATATAGCAGAAATGACAGGTATCACAACAGAACAATGCACTTTCTTTTCTAAAGCCACTGAAGTTATGAAGCAATTGCGTAAGTTGTACTTTGACCAGTCTCGTCGACTGGCTGTGCGCATTAGCCAGCTGAAGAAAGGGCGGCAACAGTCTCAGGAACGTATGCAGAGACAGCAAGCCATGCAACAAAACTACCTCCAACAAACTTTACAGCAGCTTCAACAGCAGCAACATCAACAGCAGCAACAACAGCAACATCATCAGTCACAGCAACAGCAACAGCAACAGCAGCAACAGCAACAGCAGCAGCAGCAGCAGCATCATCAGGGACAACAAATGGGTAGTCATCAAATGGGCCAAGGTCACCAAGATGGAGCAGCACAACTCCTTCATGGACAACTGTCCCTGCATCATCTCCACCAACCTTGGTCTGACTAGTGATTGTGATGAAGTTACATATATAACTGGTCTGATTCTTTAAAAATTTAACCTTTTAACAACAGCTACCTGCAGTCCCACTTCAGTTGCGAGGTTTTAAAAGCAGTATTTATGGTTAGAAATTGATGACAAAGGCAGCAGGCTCAATCAAAATGCATTACTGCACTGGGATTGAGAGTTTGCTTCCTTAGAAAGTAGTGCTTTCCTGTGCAGACTGATAAATCCACTTCATTTAAAGCCAGTGATAATGTGAAACAATGCCTCTTACTAAGTTTAGGTTAGTGGATATGCATCTGTTGTCATGGTCATGATGTATATGAGTGCACAAGGGATTTTCCAGAATCTCGATGAACACAGTCTTGGAAACCATCTATGCATTGTACAGGAAATCTTATGACCATTTCAAAAAAATAATAATAATTTTGTTACTAATTAATATGTAGAATGTGGTGTACATAATACTGTATTAAGTACTGGTAGGTATGGTGAATAGCCTGTTGTGGCATTAGGATTCAGTGTTCCAGTTAGGTTTTTGGAAAATGTGGTGTCTTTAGGCATAAACATTTTCCTTCAGCACACAACTCAGGAAGTGACAGGGCATATGTTACATATTCCAACTCTCCTCACAAGATTTCTTTTTTTTTAAAGCTGTAAGGTTAAATGCTTCACAATCAAGAACGGGTCTCTTGCTATGTTAGCCACATCGAGGAGCGTGATTCAAATGTCTAAATGAAACACTGTGTTCTTCACAATATGGATGTATTGTTTGAGAGGTATTGAGTATTTCAGGTATTACTGGTAATCAAATTCTTATACATTAATGAAAATAAAAAAAAAGATTAAAAATATTGACAAAAGGTCCTCATGGCGATATGTCCGCCGTAACTTGCAGTCGTCAGAAGTTGTGTGAATGTGTTTTATCTTGTGACTGGTATGCAGGGCTGCAGCTTCTTCCCCCCCCCCCCTTTCCCAGGGAGTCTCTTCCAATACAAATCTTGTAGTTTGCAACAGTTACAGATATATTCATCTGTGTCATTACTGTGTGTACATCCTTGTGATGCTCCTTATCTTACATATGAATGATCACAAACTTTATACCTCAAGATTCTACCTGTAAACAAGCCAAGACTTAAAATCTATTTTATTTACTAGCATTATACCAGGTGCTCTAAGCCCAGTGTCTTTAGTGGTCTTATATTTAGAAATGGCTAGGCTTATGTGGGTGGAGGTTTTGTTGACATATGCCAAATTTTACATATACCTTGCATGAAAAATATAAGTTTAGTATTGGAATTAGCCTCTTACTAATGTGCCATGGGCAGAATTTGCTGCTCTTGGGCTAGGCACAGTGGACTCAAGTTATATTGACCATACAAAGAAGCAATATGGCAAATTATGCTAGCCATGCGATGTAGAAGTACTGTACTTGGCGTATGTTGTTACTTTTATTCAGGTATGTAAGTATTACATGCACATGTCAGATTGAAGGGGCTTATTTTACTGAGCAGTTATCAGGTAAACAAAGTTCAGGTTTCAACTAGAATTAAATGTTTTTGAATGGTACTTGCATCAGGAAGAAGCTCAAGTAATTAAAAGGCTCAGTGCCCGAAGGTGACTTGCTGGATAAACTTGGATAGTGTATTGCTCTCGTCCTGATGCGAGCTAACCTTCAAAATCCGACATTTTACATATTACAGAGATAGCTATATTTATTAAGTTAAATTAGGCTACATTATACTATTTTTTTATGGTATTTAGATCGTTTATTATTTTATAATTTTTATTAATATTTAATAATGCATTTTTAATATTTTATATTTATATACTGTCTAGTGTATTTCAGCCTGAAATACTATGTATGATTGTCAATAACTGTATTAAGAAGTGATTAAGCTGAATCCTTGATAGGGAAGCCAGATCAAGTTCATAGAAGATCTTGCCTTAGGGGATACAGGAGCTTGTGAGGTCATGCCCAACTCTCAACACATGGGGATATGCCATGCTATGCAACCTTAAATCTCTAATTAATAGCAGTTCAGTTATGGAAGAACTTTGACCATAACAGAAGGTTTAGAAACACAAGAGCTGCTGTCTGTAATGATTACCACTTCAGAAACTTTTTGCACTATATAAAGTATATGATGCATAAATTGAATTTTTTTCATAGTTATTATTGGTGGGTAATGTAAGCCAGTATTTGTATTGCATTCCTGGGACATAAGTGATAGGCCAATAACTTCCGAGGTACATTTCTTCATTGGTATTGTGTTAAGTTTGGAAAATAAAGCAAAAAATTTGATCTAGCATACTGTTCGAGCCAATTTTTTTTTTTAACGGTACTGTATCCCAAGTGTTATGGGTATCGTAATGTGATGTCTGCTAGTAGGGGCCTACAGACAGTTTGACATTTCAAATGTTTTATTGTATTTAGCGTATTTACTCTGGCAAGTATAATGAAGTAGATCATTGCAAATCTAAGACTGGTTTGAGCCAAGGCCTTCCTGGACCACTGAATTTTCCAGTTCTGAAGCCCTGATTAAACAGCATAAATGTATTTATAGTTGTATACTCTGCTGTACATAATGTATGCAAATAATGTCATCTAATTAATTTACTTATTCTCATAGGGCGTTTGCCTCCGTTCCCAAAGTGCAAATTGTAGAGTAGACTTGAAGAATTAGGTGAGTAGCATAGGATTGGGCTAATCTCAGAGCCTTTGTTCAAGGAGTTCTGGGATTTAACCCTAATTTCTGGTTCTGGAGGGTCTGGCAAAACCATTTCAAATTTCTGAAGTTCCAGGGTTCTGAAATTTTTGTGTGGTGTTCTACTGTTATCAGCATTAGAGAAGGACAGTAATGACTTGAGCTGGCAGTTATTGGCAATTTATTAGTATATATATATATATATTAGCTATATCAGGCTTTACGAGCCCTTTTGCATGCATGGCCACAATATGGCCTTAAATCATATGATGGGTTTTGCAGATGTCATATACGTACTAGGGCATACAGTTTATCAAGAAATACAAGCCATTGGGTGTGATGAATTTGGTTATGTAACCTGCACTGTTTGTACTAATTACATGAGGATTGGATATATTTGGTTAGGTAGAGCAAACAAATGGTGGATTGGTTTGTGTTGGCAGATTTGAAACTTCAAGAATCAGAGTGAAGTGATAGACTTTGCGAGTGGATATATTGAAAAGTGATGAATTGAGAAAAAATAAAAAGACCACTTGCCGGTATCGCTTGGAAATGTTTACAAATTGGACGTGGAAAAGATGGCAAATAGTTAACGGATGTAATTACTGGAAATTAATACAAAGAAAGACTGAATATAGATAGGAAAGGACAAAGTTAATTATTGTGAGTGTTGTGTGTGCAGGGCCATGGTGTGCTGTTCTGCTGTATACTGTTTGTATTATAGCTTAATACACACTTCAGTAACATTACATCATTGATAAAATTAGCCATAATTTTCACTTGCATTAGGGCATTTGGGTACAACCATAATGAGTTGAATTATAAGTCCTAGCCAAAAATGGACAGGAAACCTGGGTGGAGTGGATCCTATAGCACAGTGTATCTATTCTCACAGACATAAATGCACTTCAATTAATGTCCATCATATCCATACCCACGATACATATCCAGGGCTACACAAATAAACGGGTATTACATACAAGGTCACTATAACAGGGTCCAGCTGGCGTGCCTAGCGCTTCCGGTGTTGTTCGTCTTGCATTCCTACAGTGGAATTAGACATTCAGGATTAGTTACCTATATTATTTCACCATTATTTTTGGGTTAGGAGAGTCCTTAGAATAAATTATGATCACTCTGGTTTCTTGAGCCAATTTCTTGGGTGCATCTACCTCATGTGGTTTCTTCTGGTGGCTTGTGCGACCCCTTCCATGACATTTTAAGGTCCTCCACATAATCAAAGTCAGGGAATGAATTTAGAGTATCTGCTGATCAAATTCTGTGATATATTCAATGTCTTCTCAGGGTAACACTAGATAATGGCAAACTTCCCATGTTGTTAATAAGGCTTGGTTTCTTAAAATGTTTGTAATTGGAACCGGCCAACAGGACAGTGGCAGGTGTCATTGTCTGTCATGTAGCCATGAGAATCATTAGAATGATCATCATTAGAATGATTATCATTGCAGAAATCATTTAAGGAGTTGTCTTGGGTCTTATGAGGTCATTATGGGAGGTGTCTGTCAAACCAAATGTGAATATATCCTGCAGGTTTTTAACATTCAGGGTCATGTATTATTATATACAGCAACTTTTCTGTCAGGGGTTCTTGCAATATTCAGGTGAAGATACCATAGTTTTTGTAATTTTTTGCCATAACTTGTACAACTCGGCTACAACTTGATCGCAGGTACTTTGTAGTCTGGGTATGTCTTTGTAAACAAGTTAATCGTTTTACCAGCAGTTTTAAACTGAATGGGTGATAAATTACTTGATGATTATTAGCCATGCAAAGTGTTTACCGTTTAGAACATGTTGTGACGTTTCTTGGTAAGGACATGACGTGACTGGCAGTGCTCTAACATGGTCACTGGCTCTATAAGTCCAGGCATTCTCTTGGGTAGGATTAATGCCTTTATAGTCTCAGTGCAACTGTTAACATTTACCATGTATGTTTCAGATTTACAATTATTAGATATTTTGTTTTCAGATTTGGGTTATTAAAACTGCGTGTTAGACCCGTACTTCAGTTATCTAGAGAAATACTCGAGTCTTTATTCATCCATAACCTGGGTATTTACCAGCGTCAGGAAATGTGTTAATAAGCTATTTTCTTTAATTTCTAAATTGCATGCTGTGTGTGATCAAGATATCAGTAAAGATTTTAGTAACTCCTTTTAGATAATCTGAAGTATTTTTTTTATATATATATATATATAGCATATGTACTTGATTTTATGTTAAGAATTTTATATGAATATAGTTTGTGTTTTACTATCATTATAGTGTATATTTTCAGAAGTGCAAATTTTAAATGATTTTCCTTGTTGTAATATAGGATGTGCAATGGAGAAAGATATTGTAATATTTAGATTAAAGCTTTCTGAGAAAGAAATGAAAAAATTTGTGTCAGCCACAAGTGGAAATTAAAACTTAGTAAAATTTTGAAATATGAATATTTTGAGTCGTTGGTGAAATTTTCAAGTATTTTTTCTCACTTGCATATCCTAATAATTTCCGAGTAAATCTATCTTAGTGTCTAACAATAAACAGTATATGGGTTTGCTGCGTACAAAACAAATAGCCATCGTCTATTTGATGTAATACGATTTTTAACAATGCCCGTTACCATAGAGGATTAGGGTTCAGATAGCTTGAATGCATGGTTGTGTCTTGAGCTGGCAAGTTTAAACCTCTGCAGTTTCTCGTAAAGTATTCCACGTGTTAAGTTGTAAAGTGACAAATGCTACAAAAATCTCAGCAAAGATGTAAACTTACCAGCAAGTCACATTTATTGTCCGTTGTCAGTCTCTAGTCCTCATCTTTCCATTTTAAACGTTTGTAATCCCCTTGTATCTTCATATATGTACTGGAAAATTTAATGCAAGATTAGAAGGATGTCAGGGCACTGATGACACTGACAGTAAGCTTTTCATTGATAAGTGAACTCTAACTGAAAATGAAGTATTATTTGGAAAATGATGTATGCCATTGTTGGGTTAAAAAAAAGTGTAAAACACTGTTTGGAAGCTTTAAACTTGATTTTAATTTTATTTGTTGTGAAATCTATTGCTCAAAGAAACTCAGTTTATATAAGTTTTACAAGGTAATGAATAGTAAATTATATAATGTAAGTGTTTTATCTTTTTGGTAGATGTTTAAGTTATTTTTTATTACTAGTGAAGAGTATACTGATTTCATGGACTGGATATATGTTCGTATCATTCCTTGTGATTACTGAGGCAATGTTTATAGTATTCCACATACGTGCTGCTTGGTGCCTCAGTGTCCCGATAGCTTCACATGTTGGTGTTGTAGCTTTAGATATGTCTAGCATATGGAACTATCAAGTGATTGCGGTGGACTCCTTGAGGAGTTGACCTCTCATGGCATTCTATTAAATGCATTTTATAGTCTCACATCTGGAAACTAATTGATACCTATTAATAAATGAACCTAACTTAGATATTTTCATTTTCTTTTATCCTTTCTTGTAATGCAGGTTAGATAGCATTATTTTTAATTTAGAGTATTGTACTTAGTCACATTTGGTAGGAATGTCGTGTAATGTTTGTTGCATATACGTCACTCGTCTGGTTGGAAGGTAGTATGCCAGATAGGGCTAAGACAGACATTTAAACCAAAGGAAGCCTTTATTAAGACTATGATTCACCTTAGCAGAGCTTTCTGACTTGATGAATCTCTCCTTAGGTGAAATGTCTTGATTGAGGCTTACTCTTCTCTGTGTCTTTATTCTTGACACTCTTCTGTTGGGTGTTGATGTGTAATGGTTGCAAGTTGAGCAGTGCAAGTACATACTACACCATGGTTCATGGTATTTAAATTTGTTAAATGTTTTTGCTATTTGGTGCTATTTAAGTGTGCTAATATTCTTCTACCTGTGTACCCCTCTGAAAATAAATTTCAAAGTTAACAATAAATTTATTTGTTTTAATTTTTTGTGTATTAAATGATTGGTGAAGGAGAAAATGCATAGTTGATAGGTTCAATGAGCTTGTGTTAGAAACTATCTGGACGAATGTTAGTGAATATCAAGTACACTGTTGATGATTTTTTATTTCATTAGCTACTGTACACGTTACACCTGGCCCTATATTCAAGTTTCCAAATTATTTCATTTAGGCTTCCTTCAGATGTCTAGATTTTTCATTTCATATTATATTACGAACGGTGTGAGGAGTGGATTTGACAGTCTTTCATAAATAATGATGATGACCTGAAGATGATTTTGGTTGCAATTGTGCTGTAGTAAATATCTTGGTCTGTTCATTCCTTAAGGGCTGAGTACTTTTTTTTAATGCACTGGCTGTCTCCCACCCAGGAAGAGTGAACTAAAAAGAAAAACTAAAAGTTTTTCTTTTTACATTTAGTAATTTATACAGAAGGCGTTACCAGCTCCCTGCTCCCGGCATTTTAGTTCCCTCTTATGACACTCATGACTTACAAAGGAAGGATTCTTCTCCACTTCCCCATGGAGGTTCAGTATTTGACACAAATGTAATAGCAACTGTTTTTTGGGACCTGATGTGCTGTTGGAGTGTGAGCAAGGTAACATTTTGTGAAGGGAGTCGGGGAAACCAATTAGTCGGACTTGAGTCCTGGCGGTGGATAATAGTGCCTGCACTCTAAAGGAGGGGTGAAGATATTTACAGTTTGGAGGAGCATTTGAATTGTACTATCTACACATCTCTGGCAAGACAGTAATAAAGTGAATTATGGTAAAAGTCTATTTTTCGGGTCACCCTGCCTCGGTGAGGGATGGCCACGTTAAAAAACAAATCCTACTTAAATTTTATTGGGAGCCCAAATGACTATTTCACATTTGTAATTAGTTATTATGATCTTTGAAAGAATCTTTGCTTCCTGATAAACCTTGCCTGTGTTTGTGCATCTTGGTTATCATTTGATTGGTTCATGTCTGAACCTCATGGGTATTTTCAGATTACTTTTGGAATTCACGTACTGTTCGGTGGAACCAAAAGAAAGATATTGCCCCAAGCCTTCCTTGGGGCAATATTTTAGCTTTCTTCAGCAATACAGGGGAGAGGTGTACATCATCTGGGGTTACGTTCTTAGGTGTCCTGCTAGTTGACAATTAGTGAATAATGCAAAATTATGTCATTATAATGTACAGGCTCTCCTCACTTAATGACGGAGTTCCGTTCGTAAGACCACATCGGTAAATGAATTCGTCGCTAAGCAAGGAGCATACTATAATAGTAGTGGGTTTGTGTCAGCCATCTTTGGTATTGTTTTAATGTCACCCTTGCACCATTTATTACATTTTTAATTGTTTATACAGTAGTGTACTGTTTATTGTAATAAACAGAATAGAGGAAATCAGCTCTAGTATACATTATTTAGCTATGTGTACTGATTGGAGAACTGGTTGTAAGTCCGAGTCGTTGGAAAACGAGTACGTCGCTAAGTGAGGAGAGGCTGTATTTGGTTTTAGGTTCATTTTGTTTCAGATGTTATACCATCATTTGTTGTAAACTAAAAGGACACAAGTGCAACTAATGTGACATTTATTGTGGCAACGTTTCACTCTCCAGGAGCTTTATCAAGCCATTACAATGGCTTGATAAAGCTCCTGGAGAGCAAAACGTTGCCACAATAAATGTCACATTAGTTGCACTTGTGTCCTTTTACTTTACGTATTGTCGGTAATTCTACCAACTTTATTACACCATCATTTGTTATTGACATAATGTCCAGGACGAAAGAGATTTGGTCATAGGAAATTTGTTTAGAACATTTTCAAATTCTTTGGCTTATTTTTAACCCTTTCATTGTCGGTCCTGTAATATTATGGCTTGCAAGTCAGTTTCAGTCCCGTAATACAACGCCAAAATTCTAGTGGCTTCTAGATTTGCAGGAGACAGCTGGTAGGCTTACATGTGACAGAATGGGTCTGAGTGGTCAGTGTGTGCAGTTTAAAAAAAAATCCTGCAGCACGCAGTGCATGATGAGAAAGAAAAACGCAACAGTTTTCTGGTCTAAAACACCGACTTTGTGGTGTATTTCGTATGCTATTTACAGTTGTATTCTCATTTTCTTGGTATCATTTGATAAAATGAAAAATATATTAAAGAAATAGAGATGATTTTGAATGATATACAAACTGAAAGTACCTTGAAATTGAGCTCAAATTAGTGGAAATGTTAGATTTTTGCGACATTCAAGAGTAAACAAATCATGTCACACATCCAATACACTTTAACTGGTGGGTCTAATATGCTTTCACAAATGCACTGATGTTATTCATACCATTTTTACAATAATGCAGTAGTCTGCATAACAGTAAATCTTCTATTTTTTGTGCGAGTAAAAATTTAGAATGGAAAGCAAGCATAATATAAGAGTGGCGCTGGAGATCGTGACTAATGAACAGAGAAAATGTTATTTTAGTGCTAGGAATGTTTGCATTGTTAATTCTGGATACTATTTTGAAATTGACCTTCATTGAATTTTGTATGAAATTGGCCAAATTACCAATTTCTGATCACTTCATTGGATAGCTGAAATAGGTAAATGGGCAGTTTCTTGTACTCAGTTGATAGAAGAAAAGGAGTTCTAGTGAAATAGCTGAGTTTGGTCGACTGGAACAATGGAATTGGCCGAAAATAGTTCTCAAAGTGGGCAAAATCGCCAATGGTTAAATATTGCCGAAACCACTAACTTCATGAGAGTGTAATTCCGAAAGTTTTCCATCAAATTTTGTACTTTTGGTTGCGTTACCGTCTGGAAAAGATTCTCTTATCATTTCATAAAAAAAAATAAAAAATATTTTTTTTTTGTTTTAAATTCTTCGACAATGAGAACAAGTTTGTGACCAGGGGTTGTGACAGAGAAAGGGTTAATTTAGGGAGTCATACCTTAGATAAATTCTGAGTTTTTTTTCTACTCCCAGAGCCTGGCCATGGGCCAGGCTCATCTAGTACTTGCCTGGTCAGCCAGGGTGTGTGAATAATCAAAGCCATTGTGGGTTGGCCATTATTAAAAACGTTGCCCATCAAAACTCAAATTAAGAAGGTTTCGACTTTCAAGGTTTGACTTCAGCAAATGCATCCACTACCTTGTTTTTTAGGTTATTTTGCTTTCTCAAGACCCTCACACTGAAGTTTCTTCATAAATCTTTTTGATGCATTTTGATGTTCATCCTCCATTTTTGTCCCTGTTTCTTGTCACTCATTTTTCAGCCCGTCTCTTTCCACTTTACCTCTTAGTGTCTTAAAGTGTTCATAATGTCCTCTGCTCCATCCCACCTTCAGTGATGTGAGATTCAGTTCTTTATACATGTTCTCATCGTTCAAGTTAAATAAAAACCATAATGCCATGGCTGGTATAGTTAAGTAATCTACATTTGAAATTGAAACTGGGTAACATTTTGGTCCATCCTGAACCATTATCAAGTCATTAGGGCGAAAAAAAGAAGGAAAATACTGAAATCTGGTCATTGCAGAGAGAGGTGAAAACCCCACTAAGGTCAGGTCAGGTTACTTGTATTTTGAAGATAAGAGCATTTAATAATGTTCTGGGAGGTAAGCATTCAGTAAAAATATTCCATGATGTTTGGGATATGTATAAGGAGTAACTTAACAAGATAATTTTTAATAGACTGTCTCACTGAGGTTGGGTGACCAAAGAAGAAATCATACTTATTGTCACTCAGTCAATAACTGTCTTGCCATTTGCTCCCTAGGCTTCCTTAGCTTATTTATCTTGCTCCAAAACCTCTTTTAATTCTCAGCAAAATTTGTCGATAAACAACTCATTCTCTAATCAGTTTTCTTCTTGCACTCCCTTATCAGAAATGCCTAGGCATGTTAGTGGCCTTCTTTGTAATTAACCCTTTGACTGTCGAGGTCGTATATATACATCTTACGAGGTACTGTGTTTGACGTATATTTATTTATTTTATTATTTATTTATTAACACACTGGCCGATTCCCACCAAGGCAGGGTGGCCTGAAAAAGAAAAACTTTCACCATCATTCACTCCATCACTGTCTTGCCAGAAGGGTGCTTTACACTACAGTTTTTAAACTGCAACATTAACACCCCTCCTTCAGAGTGCAGACACTGTACTTCCCACCTCCAGGACTCAAGTCCGGCCTGCCAGTTTCCCTGAATCCCTTCATAAATGTTACTTTGCTCACACTCCAACAGCACGTCAAGTATTAAAAACCATTTGTCTCCATTCACTCCTATCAAACACACTCACTCGTGCCCGCCGGAAGTCCAAGCCCCTCGCACACAAAACCTCTTTTACCCCCTCCCTCCAACCTTTCCTAGGCCGATCCCCGCCTTCCTTCCACTACAGACTGATACACTCTTGAAGTCATTCTGTTTCGCTCCATTCTCTCTACATGTCTGAACCACCTCAACAACCCTTCCTCAGCCCTCTGGACAACAGTTTTGGTAATCCCGCACCTCCTCCTA